AGTCTGTAAGTTACTGATAGTCATAATTTTTTAAGGATCTCAGTAATCTTCAAGGTAACTAATTCATGTGTTAATAACACCTATTGTTTTTAATATTTGATGCTCATTAATTTTGTAGTGAGAAAAATAAGAGTTATGTAAGCCACAACAAAAATTGGATTATAAAACAAGTATGTATAAATGAAAAATCTAATTAAGAAATGAAAGATAGGCCTCAATTGAGGGTTTATGAACTCTGTTCAAAAGAATTTCCAGGTATCCTTGTTAAAATGTCAGAGCTGAGGGTTAGCCAGTGAAGAACACATGCTTTGGCATTAGGGAGCTCTGGTTCAATGCCAGCAACTGCCTCCTCCCCTAGAAGATCATTTAAACTCACACTTGAGGCTTTGAAATTATTTGCCCCTGTACTTTCTAGGCTATTCTCAAAACATCTGCGAAATGTAATGCACCTTAACCATGATTTGCTTTAATTCTTTCTTCTTTCTATTTGCTTATACTTATAATTACTTTTAAAAAGCAGCAGAATTCTAATCCTGAAGAGTCTGAATGGTGTCTTTCAGGTTAATTCAAATTCTCATTTTTTTTAAAAATAAATTCAATTGTGAAACCAAAATACTAGAATGGTGAGTTGAATATTGTGCTGAGTTGAAGCTCAGAGGCAGTCTTGCGATGATAAAGTCCACTGAGACACCGCACGTATGCTTGAATTGCAAGCTATAATAACAGGACCTTCTTATGTGCTTTCTTAAATGCTAAGGATGCTAGTTATTAGTTCTAACTTGTTTGGTTACTCCACTATTAACCTATGCATTTTTCTGGTAGCTAGCCAGATTTTTATTTCTTTCAGACAGTAACTTTGCAATCAGAAAAAGAAAATGTTTTCACATTGTAATTAGGCAAACTTAACTTTTCCTGTGGTCAAATATAGTGACGAGATTCACCATTTTTTTTTGTTTCTATAATTAACAACAAAAAGATTATGTGAGTAGAAAGGGGAGAAAGACATCTTAAATAGAAGAATAATTCTTCTGAAGTATGAATAGTGCCTATATATATGTATATAGATACAAATCATTAGTATATGTATATATTGAAATTCAATGTCTAAATTTTTGGTAATTATTCTGCGTTTAATAATACTGAGCTCAATAATAAGTCTTAATATTGTGAAACAATAAAAACATGCCCGATTTTTAAAAAATTTCCAGAATAGCAATCAAACAAAAGAAGTAACACACAGAACGCAATTTGAGAATGAGTTATAAAGATTATACATTGGTATTCTCAGAGTAGAAAATATGAAGCTGATTTGTTCTAATATTACTATTGAAATTTTCACAGACACTGGTTATAAGAGTAAAGTAGGAGGCTGTGATGTAGCTCAGTCGTAAGAGATGGTGTTTATTATAATACAAGGTCCTGGTCAACCATTTGTGCCAAAAATAAAAAGTAAAACAATGAAAGCAAAGATTTATACTTGCTAACAGAAGCAAGATTTTTTTTTCTACGGTATTGGGATTCGAACTCAGGGCGTCATGCTTGCTAGTGAGGTGTTCTACCACTTGCACCACAAACCCCTAGCATTGGACATTAATTTTTAATAAATGAGTTGTCAATACAGACAATTTTTTATTTATATTGAACTTAATGTTTATTGCTTGTTAAATAAGCAGCCAGCTAAGTTTGTGCTATGATATCAGTAGATGTAGAAAATTGCATATATTCACACGAAATGTTGCTTTTTTATACTCACGTTTGCAACAATGCGTCTTCCATCCGCTGAGAATCATTTTCTCCATTTTTACTAGAGGTTTTCAAACATACAGGTTGAAATTGTTGGTGCTTTGTCTGCTTCATCTACTACCAGAATAAGACCAACTTTATGCCTTAACCTTTGGAAACCAGAAATTATTACACAAACAAACAAGAAGGCAACTATTATTAAAACTTCATCATTACTACTTTGGATTTTTACCAAGTTGTCCTTAAGTTACGTACACTACCAGTGGACAAAAAGTCTACAACAGAGTTTTAGAAGCAAAATTGACTATCGAACTCCTCCAACAGTTTTCACACACAGTACTAAACTGCCAATCTACAGTGACTTTTTGGAGTATTGGAATTACTCCTATGGTGGTGGATTGTCAACAACATTTCACAGCCTTAGAGTTGGGGCAAATGTAAAGCAAGTATATAAATAGAGGAGATTAATATACCATGAAGTGCATTGGAAGTTAAGAGGAGTAAGAAACATAAATCAACTGTGGGCTTTAGCAACTGCACTATTTGGCTCTTGAAAAGCGACTGAAATTTACGTAGATCAGAAATGGAGATGCTGAGAAGTGGGTATTCAAGTAAAAAAGAATAAAATTCTGGGGGCACTATTTAATGAAGAATTGTATGAATAATATCTGTGGCTGAATAGAGGTTAAATGTAAGAAAAGAGAGAAAAGAACAAGGAAGAGAATATTGGGTTTCTACTACTAAACACTTAGTTTGCCAGACCAAGAAATATGTACTTTACTCATTAAGTAAATGGGATATAATTTTTTAAACCTGTAAATTCAAACGATGATAGAAATGGATTTTAATTGCAGCAATATATAGAATAGACTCAAAGGGATTAAATACATTATTTGGTTCACAAGAGCTTGGGAAACCTTGGTAAGACTAGAACCATGGAAACATGGAAATACAAAGTATTAGCTCAATCCTTAAGGGTTCTGATAGTCTTCCGCACTTCTTGGAAGGAAAGAAGGGTAAAGGGAAAATAACGACCTAGGTTTGGTGCCTATGAATTGTGAAACGAAAAGAAAGATGAAACCAAAGCCTCGAAGAAGGATTTTGGGGAGTGGAATTAGGAAGGAAGATACTCATGAAATTCAATTTCAGTGTAAACTCAAACTTTTCTTAAAACAGTAGATAACTGATAAGTTTTTCAGATTGCATGTTTTGACTAATTATTTTTTCAGGGAAATATAGATTAAGCATATCATTGATTCCTTTTACTGAAAAATATTTATACATTTTCCTCAAAGAACAAGGGATAGTAAAAAAACTTGTATGGTTTAAAAATAAACTTACTTTTAGAAAAAAGAAAATATGTGGCTTTGCACTCCCAGACCCATCTCTGTTCAGGGAAGTTTGGTCCAATGGTGTGCAGACTTCAGGGCAGAAAAAGCTGCTAATCTCAGGGTCTGGACCACAGAAATGAATTCCATGAATGGCTCATTTGTGCCACTCGCAGGAAGGAGTTTATCTCACCAAGGAACATGCAGGCAGTGGATTTCTTTGGAATATTGGACTAGCAGCTGGCCAGGATCTTCCAGCTTCTCAAAGCACCTGGTATTTTTCAAGTAGTTAAAACCAATTTTTTTGAAAACTTTTCTAGGTGCTATTAACCTAGTTTCAAACCATATACTGAAGACCACAACAAACTTACAGAATATCTGTAACAAGAGAAATAATTGAGGATTTGTGCATTTCCTAATGCTCTTATTGAAGAGAACAGAATAAAAAGACATGTTATTTTCCGTAATTTTCATTTCATACCACCCCCTAAAATGTCACATGATGTGTTTCATTAGACTGAATACATTGGACTCTATGGGAAGATTCTTCTCAAGGCTTGACCTACTGCTATACTCAGAAAATACTTGTGAAAAGTAATTCATATAATAGAATTACTAAACCAAAGTGCGTTCTTCGTGATACAATTAAGTCCTCTTTTAACTGAAAGGCTGAAGGAGTAAGACTTTGTAACTGTGGTATCCCTAAAATTAAATCAAAAATTCAAGTCGCAAGGAAATAAACTGGATGTTTGATCATGAGTAAAATTTTTGTTCAAGTCATCCCGCTTATTCCCCCCAATAAAAATAACAAGTGAGATTTCATCCAGCAATAGTATTTTGTTTGACTTAATATAAATTAACAAGGGGTTTGGGGTATTAATAAAGTTGACCAGATTCTTCTCTTTTTTAAAATTTCTTTTCTTCTCCTTTGTGGACCCTTTCATACCTAAAAATCATCTTTGAGGGGAGGAGGAAGCTGTTTTTAAAATATATTGGTTTATATTACATATTAATCTTTATGTATTTAAAATATTTTTTTGATGGAAGTTAGGTAATGATGGTGTGCTGAATTGGCCAATTAAATTTAAAGCAAGTCTTGGTTGGAGGTGTGGTTCAAACGAAGGTACCTGCCTAGCAGGACACAAGCCAAATTAAAAATCCAGTGGTCATCAAATCAAGCAAGTCTTGAGACTAACTATTTTAGGCCCAGTGACTGCACCTTGTCACTCACTCCCAGGACATTGGAAGAATGCTTTAATGGGATTTTTAATATTTCTGCTAGGATTAGAGCAAACCAACCCATCCCTTCCCTCTTTCTTCCTCCACCCATTCCCTTCCTTCGCTGGGATTTTAACATTTCTATGAGATTTAGAAAATCCATCTTCTTCCGCCTTCTTTCCCTTCTTGTCCCTCTTCTCTCTCTTCTCTCGCTCTCTTCTTTCCTTCCAGGGATCAAACAGGTCATCCACCATTTTAATTTTCTGAAACCTATTTCTACTGTGATCTCACCCCCTTTAAAACCGTCTTTAAAGACTTTTGAAAGCAAAAAGTATTCACAGTGAGTTAATCCTGAGTTATGCGCCTCTTTTCTGATGAATATAAAGCTCTCCATATTACCTATGATATTCTTAGCCACCTGTGTGTGAACTTGCAGTTGAATAGATAATCTGATTTTTTTATGGGGACCGATTTTTAATCTTCACCTCCACATAATACAATTTTAAAAGATGAAAAGTTCCTATGGTAGCTTGATTCATATCACACAAGAGAAGTAGACACTACATTTAAAACGGTGTAAATATTTTCTTATAAAGATTTAAAGTCATCTTCAACATGACTCTCCCACTTAAAAACATGAAGTTGCATTGGCATTGTTTTGAGAGCTTGGTTTCGAGGTTCTAGCAGGGGAAGGCGGAGCTACTCGTGTACCCTTTGACCGAAAGAAGTCTCCTCTATCGGGGATGGTCGTCCTCTTCGACCGAGCGCGGCCAGCTTCGGGAAGGGAGCACATGGAGCGGTGAGGGAGGAAGGGGACACCGCCCTAGCGCGCAAAATCAGCCGAATCAACCCTGGCGATCAATGGGGGTGACCAGACTGTAAGCCCAGATCGCCTCAAATCCCAATGGTAATTGTTTTTTGAATCTCTACTCTGTGTAATACACTCTTGGGAGTGTGGAACTTCAGAACCTTGGTCTGTAATCTACTTATAAAATTAGATACAAATGCCAACTTTATTTAATGCTGTTAAAAATCACAAAAAATGTGCACCTATTTTTTAAAAGAAACTAATAAATACACAAATGCCAATCAAAAAGGAAAGCAAATTAAGATATCACTTCAGTATTGTTTTTGTTTAGTAAAACAAATTTAATCAAAAGCCAAGTTAACTGATGTAGGGCAGCATGGGGTGAGAAGGAAAGAGACTCTGGCGTCAGAGAGGTCAACATTCAAATTCTGGTACCTGCAATGTGATCTTTGAGAGTAATAAAAGCTAACCTAGGAAGAGGTTGTGAAAAGTGGGAAAGTACATACATAGTATTCTGAGACAGCAGGATGCAGTTACTGCAGCTTCTGCATTTGTTTGTTACTCTTTGCATTTGCTGTGACTGCAATCTCCTTGACTGAAATTCTAATTGAATCTTTCAGGCTTTCAGCATTGACAGGATTCTCTGGTTCCTTCTTTGCCCTGATGCAGACAATTTTGTTGTATCTGATTTTGTGTTCCTTTGAGCCTACTCCCCTACACAGTCTTTGAACATGTTATAATGCAATTACTTATTTTATCACTCTTTTCCTTACATCAGACTGAAGGACGAGGAATGCAGAACACACACACATGTTCGCATCATTGTGCTGGTATTACTGTGAAGCCACAGGGGTTGCTTCACAGGAGAAAGCAATAAATATTTGTAACAAATAAAAATAAATTTGAAATAATAAATTAACGAAATGAAGATTATATACAGGATTTGTAAAATGGAACTTCCAAATTTATTGCACTATGCAACTTTTTGTTAAAAAATGGAACACCTGAAATCTACTCTAGTAATTGCTGGGTTGGTGAAGGTTGGCCCTCTCTGAGGTAAGCAGTGTCCTAAATCATCTTATTAAGTCCTGGTATTAGAAAGCACAGTCCAGGAACTGAGAGTTGATGGTTATGTCCATCATCTATTCCAGTTGAAGCTGAATTTAGACTTAAATTTGTACTGGCAGAACTCTACATCAACATTCCTATTTCTCACAGCCAGTACAGGTATGTTGGCAAATGATTAAAAATTTTTTTTGGTGCTACTGGAGTTTGAACTCAGGGCTCATGCTGCTAGGGTACAAGGCAATTCTCTTACTTAATCCTTGAGTCACTCCTGTAGTCCAGCAATGTGATTCTTTTTTTTTCTTTTTTTAATGTAATTCTTGACATTTAAAATTTCTGGACTTGGGGCTAATGGGTAGCTCAAATGGCAGAGTGTCTGCTAAGCAAGTGTGAGGCCTGAGTTTCAAACCCAGTACTTCATAATTAATAAATACTAATATAATAATATCTTCAGATTTGTCTTATTTAACTTAGCTTGAAAGAATTCTCTAACTTGACGCCAATGGTGACGGCTTTCTTTAGTTTAATTGTTCCCTTATGTCTGGCCTCTGCTTTCCTGACTGTCCCCTACAAACTCTACTTTCATGATTCTGGCCCTCGGTGGGCTTAGACCGTCCTGAACTATCAACTGCTTTCCTCCTAAACATCACAAAAATTCATTCCGGAAAAATTATTTTATTTCATAAAAATAATTAAATTCTAAAAATAAAGCTGGGAAACATAAGGGAAAGGCGAAAATATACTCAAACAAATCATCTATTGGTGCTTTTCCACTTTTAGAATGAATAAAATGTTTCTTTCTTTGTTAACATTTTGAATATGTAGTCATGTTATCCATTTTTCTGTATTCCACAGGTAGTACTAAGTTTATCTGTCAGACATTCTTTATACCTACTCTTTGCTGAAAAATTAATTTTTCATATGTTTTGAACAAATTAAGCATGCGTTTTATTAACTTAAGCATTAAATTATTTTGTTAATATCATAGCAAATAAGAAAGGGGTGGGTGCTGCAGGGAAAAGTGTGTTCACACGGATTTTTATAAGCAACATAATGAAAATTTTCTAACTGCAGTCTCACATATTTTAATGGGCCAAAAACAATACCACTTCCAGTACAAAAAGGAAAAAAAGAAACTTGCATCATTGTGAGTAGAAAGGAAATTCAGTTGTTTCCGTAATAATTATAGTTCTTCAGAACAATTAAGAACAAGTAAACTCAAGCCTAGTTTCTAATTTTAAAAGAGGCCAATGAAATTGTTCTGTAAACAGTTGACTTCTGATAGCCTATACCTTGTCAAATGAGATTTTCAAGCCTTCTGTGCTAGAAAATTTAAACCATACGCTTGTGCAAGAAGCACAAATCAAATGATTTCCAAGGACTAAAATGAAGGAAAATACAAATAGGAACATGACTTTTCCTTTCCATACCTGGAGTAGTCATGAGAAAAAGAGGAATTTATGGGATAAAGTAGTTTTTTTGTTCTGTCTTACTTATTGGTAACTTTCATCTGTACAATAAAGGAAAAGCAAAAAGACTAGTAAAATATGGAAAATGATACTGAGCTTTCCAAATTGGTGGGCTGCTTTCGTAAGCACCGATGAAATAAAGGGTGGAAGTGCTGTACCCTCTAGCAGAACTTAATATGATAAGAACAAAAGATTGATTTTGAAGATACGCCTACATACATAAGCTTCTGCTTAGTCCACAGTGCTTATGGTTGTTGCAGATTGCATTATGAAAGGTTTTTGAAGATAATATAATGATTTCTTATTTAGAGAGTATTTGATTAAAAATCATCTACGAGCATCTTGGATCAAAGACATTAATAGCATGATCTTAAGAGAAGATTTTAGTGCCAATGTCAATGTCTTTTTTGAAATTGTTTCTTTCAAACCGCTTTTGAAATATAATATATAAAGTTTAGGGTCAACACAACTCAAACATATATGGGAAAAAAAATTGAAAAACACATCTAGTCACATTTTCTTAACCTAACATTAAATAAAAAGATGTTTTTCTAGTTATCAGTAACCATGGACGAATTAATTTAGAAGCTCACTAATTGTTGACACATCACCATTAAATTGTCACTTCTTACTCGCTGACAAACTGTCAGACGAGGCTGTCTGATCATATAAACCCTAATGTCAATAATGGGCTTCCTCAAACAAACATTGTATTCACACTATTCATTTTTAATTCTGTGATTTACTTTTTTTGAAATGGACTTACTAAATGTTTCAATAGCAACTTCAAATGACTCCAGATGCAATGAAAGTAGTTAATTGTGTAAAGAGCAGGTTTTGTTAAAATAAGAAAATAGAACTGGCCTCCACAGAGCAAAGCACTATCTGTTCTGAATGTGCTTTTAAAGGTACATTACAAGCTTACACATCTCATTTGTTAAGGAGGCACAAGATTCCAAAATAAGTGATGTTTATTTTGAGACATTTTAATGAAGTGACATTTTCAAAGACTTAGGTTAGCTTTCTTTTTAAAAAATACATAGTTTAGCCCAAAATAGTGAAGGAAAAAAGAAGACACAAATGTTTTCACATACTTAAAGCTGACAGCTCTCTCCTCTGATGCTTTATAGTTCATGTGAAAATTAAAAATAGCCATGGGAGATAAAGTCATCAATACATGAGCCAAACATGAGCAAAGGAAAGACAGAACCATTGCCTCAAAGGAGGCACAGAAAGAAATTTGTTTCAATAAAAACAAGGGGAAAGTTTTGAGAAAAGAACTAAACTTTTACCAATAAGATATAGCCATAGTATCACTGATTAAGAAAGTAACTGCTGTTTAAGAGATTTTACAAGTGAAGAAAAGTTCATGACATCAAGAATTATAATTTTTGCAAGGTGCGGTAGTAACACCTGTAATCCGTAACTGTGGAGGTGGAGAAAAGGGAAATCGTGGTTTCAAGTCCAAACTAGGGCTTTTAGAAGCTAAAAAGCAAAAGGACTGGGGACGTGGTTGGGGTGGTGAGAACTTGCCAGGAAACAAAAGGCCAAGTTAAGTCCCCAGTTCTGTCAATATACCCACATATGAAAAATGTAATGTAATTGTTTACAGTACTTATTTTAAAAGTAATGTATGAAATAAAGAACACTAATAAATTAAATAAAATAACAAATGTGGTGCTTAGACACAGATGATGAAAAAATGAGCTAAGAATTAATTAATTTGTGAATGCTCTGGGCTTTTTCTGCTGAATAAGTAGCATATACCTCTCACTCTACTACAAAAGACAAATTTATTTTTCCAATATTGGGAAAGACTCCCCTTCCTCAGACCTCCAACAGAAGATTCTTGTTTTCTACTAGTTTGTTATTTATATACAAAAGAAATTAAGACCAAAATAAGGCCTTAAGACTCCTGTAGTACAGTTTATAAACCAACATTGTACTTCTAGCTTGGTCAGGTCATTTTACTTCCCGAAGTCAAGATTACTCATGTCTTACAGGGGAAAGTGACAAAGAACATCAGAAATATAACAGAGTAAAAAATGAAGGAACATAAAGGAAGCAGAGGGAAGGAGGAAGAACAGGAGGAATATTGTATATAGTGGCTTTGAGTGTTTTGAATGATTGGGGAAAGTCCTTTTAGAAAAATAGAGCAAAATTATTATTTCTGCCATATGATAAAAAAGTCTTCACAGCTCCTAAACAATAGTTGTTTTGGAGGACACAATAGTTTGTTTAGTAGTCAACACTCTTAAACTAATACACCAGAAATCGAAAACTCCTAAAACTCAAGGGAAGCGAAACTTTGGCGGGAAAATATTTATGCAAGGAAGTCGGCTGGGATGCTAAAACATTTTGTAGTTAGAGTAGGTTCTTGTTGGGAACTAGGAGTAAGAAAATTGCCACAGCAAAAACAGTCACGCGGTGGGCAGGTAAACTTTTCAAATC